CCAGAAACTTTACTGTATTTGCTTATTGTTTCTAGTAGTGTTCTTGTGGAGTCTTTAGGGTTTTCTATATAGAGAATCATGTCATCTGCAAATAGTGACAGCTGGACTTCTTTGTTTTCTATTTGGATATCTTTTATATCTTTCTCTTGTCTGATTGCACTCACAGGACCTCCAATGTTATTTTGAATAACAGGAGCGATAGTGGACAGACTTGTCTTGTTCCTGATCTTACAGGGAAGGTTTTTAGTTTTTCACCATTAAGTATAATGTTGGCTGAGGGTTTGTCATATATAGCCTTTATTATGTTAAGGCACTTTCCTTCTATACCAATTTTGTTAAGTGTTTTGATCATAAACGGATGCAGAACTTTATTCATCTTCCCAAACTGAAACTTTTTGACCATTTTCCATGACTTCCCAATCTCCCCTTCCTCCCCGCCTCCTCCCCACCAAGTCCCTGACAGTCACCACTCTACTCTGTCTGTCTCTTTGGATTTGACTTCCTTAAGTAGTTCAGATAAGTGGAATCATCTCTTATTTGTCTTTTGTGACTGGTGTATTCCACTTAGCATAATGTCTTCAAGGATTTCTTTCCATTTTTAAGCTGAATATTTTATTGTATGTATATATCATCACATTTGTTTATCCGTTCATCTGTTGATGGACAATTGAGATGCTTCCATATTTTCCCTATTGTAAAATGCTGCCCTGACCATGAGTGTACAAATAATCCATTCCAGTTTCTGCTTTTAATTCTTACAGGTATATACCCGGAAGTGGAATTGCTGGGTCATGCTAATTGCTTTTAATTTGTTGAGAAACCGACATACTGTTTTCCATAGTTGCTTGAAAAGTCATTCCTAATAGCAGTGCACAAGGATTCCAGTTTATTCACATCTTGCTAACACTTGTTTTTTTTTTTTTTGATAATCATCATTTTAATGGGTGTGAAGTACTACCTCATTGTGGTTTTGGTTTTCATTTCCCCAGTGATTAGTGATGTTTAGTATCTTTTCATGTGTTTATTGGCCATTTGTATGTTTTTTGAGAAATGCCTAGTCAAGTCTTTTGACCATTTTTGAATTGGGTTGTTTGTTTTTTCATTGAGTTTTAGGAGTTTTTAAAAATATATTCAGGATATTATTAGTCCCTTATCAGATGTGTAATTTGTGAGTATTTTCTCCCATTCTGTTGGTTGCCTCTATACTGTTGATGCTGTCTTTTGATGCACACATTTTTTAAAAATTTTGATGAAGTCCAGTTTCGTCAATTTTTTCTTTTGTAGCCTGTGCCTTTGGTGTCATAGCTGAGAAATCATTGCCAAATCCAGTGTCATGAAGCTTCCCCTATGTTTTCTTCTTAGAGTTTTATAGTTTTAGCTTACGTTTAGGTCTTGATTCATTTTGAGTTAATTTTTGTGTATGGTGTTAAGTAAGGGTCCAACTTTATTCTTTTGCATGTGGATATCCAGTTATACTATCTTTTCCCCATTGAATGGTCTTGGCAGCCTTGTATAAAGTCATTTGACCATATTTGTGTGGGTTTATTTCTGGGCTCTTTTTCTTTCTGTTGGTCTATTGGGCTATTCTTAATGCCAGTATCATACTGTTTTGATTACTGTAGATTTTTAGTAAGTTCTGAATCAGGAAGTATACAATTTTTCCAGTTTCATTCTTTTTTCAAGATTAGTTTTGGCAAGTCTTTGATTTCTTTCATTTCTGTAATTTCGTAGTTTTCAATGATTAAGTTAACTTCTTTAGTTATTTCTAAGTATTTAATTCTTGATGATATAAATAGAGTTTTTTTAAATTTCCTTTTTGGATTGTTTATTGTCAGGGTATAGAAACAACTGATTTTTTGTGTTGCATTTGTATCCTGCTACTTTGCTAAATTTATTAGTTCTAACAGATTTATGTCAGTGTATGTGTAATCTTTAGGATTTTTACATATAAGATTATGTTATCTGAGAACAGAGATAGTTTTACTTCTTTTTCAATTTGGATGCCTTTTATTTCTTTTTCTTGCTTAACTGCTCTGGCTAGACCTGCCAACATAATGTTGAATATCAGTGGTAAAAGTAGGCATCCTCATAATGTTGAATAATAATGTTGAATATCAGTGGTAAAAGTAGGCATCCTTGTCTTGTTCCTAATATTAGAGGAAAGGCCTTCAGTCTTTTACCATTGAGTGTAATGTTAGCAGTGGGTTTTTCATAAATGCCCTTTATTACGTTGGAAGCTTCTTTCTATTCCTAGTTTTTTGAGGGTTTTTTTTTTTTTTTTGATCATGAAAGGGTGTTGGATTGTTTCAAATGCTTTTTTCCTACATTAATTGAGGTTTTTTTTTCTCTTTATTGTACTTACGTAGTATGTAACATTGGTTTTCATATGTTGAATCACCCTTGCATTTGAGATAAATTCCATTTTATTGTATTGTATAATCCACTTAATGTGCTGATGGATTTGGTTTGCTAGTTTTTTGTTGAAGATTTTTTCATCTGTACTCATAAAATATCTCGGTCTTTTATTTTCTTTACTTGGTGATATTTTTGTCAGGCTTTAGTATTAGCAATTCTGGGCTCATAGAATGAGATAGGAAATATTTACCCCTCTTCAATTTTGGGGAAGAATTTGAAAACCATTGGTGTTTTCTTTAAAAGTTTAGTAGAATAAACATTTAAAGTGTGCAGGTGAATGAACTATCACAAAGTAAAGACCTGTGAAACATTGCTGCACCACGGAAGCCCTTCTAGCACTTCTTAGTGCTCCTCCCTCCCCTCTAAGATAACTCGTAGCCAGCCCATTGTTTGGACATAACTTTCTTGAATTCCTCTATTTTTGCTCTGTGTTCCTGTAATCGATGTAAAAGCTGCAATTGCTTTCATAAGTTTGCGTGTGTGTGTGTGTGTGTGTGTTTGAATGTTGCTGAACTTGATAAAAATTGTAATCTTTAATTTGTTTTGATGTTTTAGCATCTCTTACAGGTACTATATTTTTTAACTTATGGTTTGGTTTTCATATTTGAATGGATTGGTCTTTTCTTCACTGTCTCAATGGAGGAGGGGATGAAAGATGATGGCGGGGGGTGGCGTGTAGCTTTCCCAGTTTCTCAGCTCAATAGTTCTCTCTGTTGCTACAGTAACGGACAATTTTTTAAAATTATTTTTGGTCCTATCTGTTGCAAGAGGTTCTACCACTAATTCATTCTTTTCCTCATGCCAGTGCATCATCAAGGGATATTGCTTGCCCTGACTTCCAAAACAATCCTCCACCCCTTTAAAAAGTGATTTTTAGAGTCCACCTCTTTTTCCTACCTCCTCCAATCCTTGATCTCAGACTTGCCCACAGCAGTTCCCACTCAGGTGAGACTCTGTTCTGTA